AGAAGAAGAAGACTTTTCTACTCACTGAACTGAAGAATTGACTCTGAAATGTGGACAGAATCAAATCCTCAGATCGCCGTGTGTGTTCTGTGCTGATTTTCTTCAGCTGTCAATCAAACCGAGCGTCTGCCTCTGTAAAGTTTTTGTTTTTCCCACGTGGCTCTTTGTGGCTCGACATAAGAATCAGAGATTTTTGGGGCTGTTATGTGTATGAAGAGAAAGAGCGCTGGGCTCAGTGGGCGGCCAATAAGCCGATGAAGGTTATCTCAACCTGAGATCAAGCCGCTTCATTGACGTGCGATGGGATCAGATAGCAGAGATCGATAAGCTTTAAGGAAGGCTGAATGGGAATCGTTTCACCTGCAGATTGATCTTGATGGACATGTCTTGGGGTTGAGGATGCATGATCACTGGTTTTTGAGTGTGTGCAGGATGTGGACTGTTTGGCCTCCAGTGATCTGGGTCGACCACTGGAGGTCAGCAGCGTCATGTGTGAGGGCCTCTGAGCCGAGCTGGGACTCTGTGTGTGTGTGACTCTGTGTCTGTGTGTGACTCTGTGTCTGTGTGTGAAAGAGGGAGAAGCTGTGTGGAGGATTTTTCTGGTCTCACTTCACTGGTTTTTTTTTTTGGCTTCCACCGTCACTACTCCAAAAAAAACTAATTAAAGACTTTTTCTAATTGGCCAAACAGATGGTTAGAGAGCGAGCCAGGAGGACGGGTTTGGATTGGACAGAGTGAAATGTGCCTAACAGAGAGAGAGAATGGATAAAGACTTTCATATTAAAACCATAGCACAACAGCAGTACAGTTAAATTTAGGTTTTTATTCGGCATGTTGACACAGATCTTAGACGACTAAAAGCTTGCTCGGCCTGGACGTGGATTGTTGGAGTGTTTTCCCACAGCCTTTGGGGACAGTGGATTCTCTCTCTCTGTTATTTTAAAAGTTTGACATTAATGCCTTTATTGGGCAGGACAGCTGAGGCAAGAAATGTTGGGCGGAGAGATAGAGGGGTGACAAGGAAGCAACCCGCGGCTGCTGCAGCGACGACTCGGCCTCTCCAATTATAATAATGGATCGGGTCCAAAAGTGCCTACAGCTTTAAAAAAAAAAATTCAGCCCAAAGCTTACATAATAAGAAAAGACAGGACTGTTTAAACTGCACCGATACATTGGCCACATTTCAAAACGTCACCAATGTATGTTAGACTGTGCAGGAGTTTACCTGCACAGTCTAACATACTGATTTAAAATGAGAAATAGTTTGTTATTGGTTGCCAAAACAGGTGTAGATATTCTTTAGATTTTTGCTAGTGAATGTATCTGCTGATTTATAGACGTCCCCCCACACGGCCGTTTTGGACGCCCCTCGGTTTGTCAGATATGAGAGCAGTTATCAGGTCAAATCAACAGGTGTTGTTAGACTGCAGTACCCATTTTAAACACTAGGGGTATCTGTTTTTTGTGTCCGTTAGACTTTTTGACTTTAATGAATGAGGAGATTCTTCATTTGTTGTAAATAGAATTATCCCAGAGTTATCGCACGTCCTCCACTCTAATGAAACTGTTACTTTTCCATCTTTCTGATTGGACCTTCACTTCATGGCTCAGTCTCTTCATGGCTCAGTTAGCCTTCATCAGCAGGTCTTTGTAAATTAGCCTCCTAACGCTGGCCAACAATCTGAGCTCACCTCCAGCCACAGAACAGAACGATCAATATCAGGTCCAGTCAGAGACGTGATTTGTTTGGCTGTAATGAAGCGGGGATAACTCAGACAGTCTGACAGCGCCTGGCTCAGAGTTCAGCTGTTCTGTTCCCCCCTCTCTCTCTGATTGGACCGTTGACGTTATTAACGAGCTGATGCTGAACACAGAAACCTCCCCTCTGTCTGAGAGCGAGCCGATTTATGTTCATGTAAGTTTGTGTAATATCAATTTATTGGAGCTCTTAAGTGTTTTGACTGTGAACCTCTCGGAAGAAAAATAAGAAGTCAGGAAGTGTTTCAGAGCCTCGAATCCACCAATCACAGGAGGGTACAGCAGTCTGATACGAGAGAGAGAGAGAGAGAGAGAGAGAGAGAGACAGACAGACAGACAGACAGACAGACAGACAGACCCCTCTAGTGTGTTAGAAAGGTTCCATCTTTAACTGACACTCTCATCTTCTCTGTGGGTCGTCACACGCAGCGACCCAGCTCAGCTCCACAATAATACCGTCCTTGTGGTCTCTGTGACGGGGGGGGGGGGGGGGGGTGGGGGGGGTGATTCAGATTGGCTCATGTTGTCAGTGACCGACGTCAGATCTGCGTGGAGGCCATGGCGCTCTGCCAGGACGCTTCATTCTGTTGTTAATGAAACATGTTTTCTAACTCGGCTCACTTGATGTCATGGAGTCAGCGGTGACAGTGACAGAGCGCTCTGCTGTGGACGCTTCAAACCCTTTCATTAACTTAATGAAGCGTTAATGAGCATGAAGGATCTCTGTGCTGATATTGATGTGTGAGGAGACCTGCAGAGAGCATCAACACGACATGTTTCCTCTCTTTATAGAGCGCCACATGCTCACACGCTCATGCAGCTGCAGGAGTGTTGGCTACAAATGATGAAGTTTGAAGTTTAACCCTCATGCATCATTATGGATATTTTAGTCCATTTGGTCAAATGTTTCCTCTTCATCTGGTCATCATTTTGTCTGTTAGTGCATATGGAACACACAAGAAAGTCTCTCTCTTGACAAACTTTGGAATGCACATTTTAATGTTTTTTAATAGATCAATAGAACACTGAGAAACATGTTTACTACCCTCTGAAGTCACGAAGGACAAAAAATGTCCACTTACAAAAAACTGATATAAAAATAGAACAGATTAATATTTCTTTCTACTTTTTTCTGCATAAATCTCTTAAACAACGTCAGCCCTGCTCAAAACTACCAAACATTCAATTTTTAGGAATTTAACCCTTTAAATGCCAGTTTGATTACTTGATGTCACTGTTGTTATTTATGAAAAAAGTATATATATATATATATTATATATTTGGTGAATTGAAAAACTGATTTAAAAATCAGTCTTGATATGTCAAAGATTATCCAAAATATTGACTTTGATCCATTGTTAGTTTGTGTGTAGCATCAGATTTAAAATGTAGTTTGGACATTGAAGGGAGAAAATGTACAATTTACAAAAATCTCTCAACAACTCCAGCCCTGCTCAAAAATATCAAATATTGAATGATTAACAGGGATTTAACCCTGGCATTTAAAGGGTTAAATTGTTTTAATCCCGTCCCCATGCTAAATTCTCAAAAACATCTTCGTCCACATGAAAACGCAAAAAAACGTGCTGTCAAGATCACGCCAAGTCAACAAGGCGACGTTATCACCTTCTGCCAAACAGAAGCATAAACCAGCAATCATTTTTGTATTGGTTGATCCAGCTGGAGTTATGCAGCAGAAAGTAAATTAACTTCCAGGATGGCTAAACACGCAGTACCTTTAGTGTCCACCAGGGGGCTCAGGCCTCGCAGCAGCTCATGTGTTCAGTGAGAGCGTGTGCAGCCTGATGTTGGCCTGCTTTAAGGTTCCTCAGTGTGTCTCTGTGTTTCAGCTCATTGTCTGTGATCAGGCAGAGCGAGGGTTTCACTGTCGGGGTGTAACAGCACAAAGACGCTCTTTGTCCCGTCATGACCGCCTAACAGGCCGTCTCACTTTCCGCCTCCTTCTGCAGACGAGGGCTTCCTGGCTGGACTTTCTCTGTGCTGTGATTCCTCTTGTGTACATGTGTGTGTCACTCGGCTGTTTTGGTGGAAACATTGACTTACAAACACTCGGCACTATGAGGTGGATCTGTGACACTGTGAAACACTCAAACGCTTAACATGAGCAGGAAACAGAAGGCTGACTCTGCACGCCTTATTGGACGCCACCACACGAGCAAAAGAAAGATGGAAGGAATTTAAGTTACACAATTCCACCACCAGGGGGCTCTCAATCAAAACAACAACAAAAAGAAGACATCGAGGCTGGCAGGGAATCATGGGAGTGATTCACCTCTACCCTCAATGAAAACGACCTCTGAATTGACCGTAGTCATGACGACCGGGTGAAACCGACCTGAGGAAGATGTTTACAGACGAGTACATGATGTTTTTATCACAGCAGCACAAACGGCAACAGAACTGTGTGTGTGCGTGCGTGCGTGCGTGCGTGCGTGCGTGCGTATTTTTGTGTGTGTTTGTGCGTGTGTATATTTTTGTGTGTGTATTTCTGTCTGTGTATTTCTGTGTGTGTATTTGTGCGTGTGTGTATTTCTGTGTGTGTATTTATGTGTGTGTGCGCGTAGTATGTGTGTGTGTTTACAATACTTCGCTGCCACTTTAGTCAATGATTGTGTTTTCACAGCGAGCGTCGCGGTCCGTCTCTAGAGCGTAGCAGCACCTCTACGCTCTGCTCATCCGCTCAATTTCAAAATAAAACACAACAAACCGACTCCTGATCGATTTCAAAATAAAACACAACAAACCGACTCCTGATCGATTTCAAAATAAAACACAACAAACAGACTCCTGACCGATTTCAAAATAAAACACAACAAACAGACTCCTGATCGATTTCAAAATAAAACACAACAAACAGACTCCTGATCGATTTCAAAATAAAACACAACAAACAGACTCCTGTTGGTGACGTCCACCGCAGCAGGCTCTATGATGAAATGTGCAGTAAGTCAGTCAGTGGGTTTGTTGATGCTGACAGTATCTCTGATCAGGTCGAGTCTGACTGCAGAACGCTCTGACAGGTGAGGGATTGTGGGAGTTAGAGTTCTGACTGGATGGATCAGACTCGGGTGTGACTTATCGACCTGTTCCTCGTCTGTTGTTTGATGTTTGATCTGTTAAAGAAGAGATCAACATGTTTGAGTAACTTTGATCTGCTGCAGACACTCTGACCTCACTGAGCAGTAAAAACCTGTTTCCTCTTCTTCTGTGGTGTCCTGCAGGTCGTCTGTACGCCATGCAGACCGGCATGAAGCTGGACAGTAAAACCCCCGAGTGCAGAAAGTTCCTCATCAAACTCATGGACCAGCTGGAGACGGTATGTAGCCTTACTCCTTTCTCTCCTCTCCTCTCCTCTCCTCTCCTCTCCTCTCCTCTTTAGTCCTCTCCTCTCCTCTCCTCTCCTCTCCTTTCCTCTTTAGTCCTCTCCTCTCCTCTCATCCCCTCTCCTCTTCTCTCGTCTCCTCTCCTCTCCTCTCCTCTCGTCTCCTCTCGTCTTTAGTCCTCTCCTCTCCTCTTCTCCTGTCCTCTCCTCTCCTCTCCTCTCCTCTCCTTTCCTCTTTAGTCCTCTCCTCTCCTCTCATCCCCTCTCCTCTCCCCTCCTCTCCTCTCCTCTCCTCTCCTCTCCTCTCCGTTTCCGTTTCCGGTTTCCGGTGAGTGTGAGTGTGAGTGTGAGTGACGGTGGTGGTGTTGCGAGTGGCGCGGAGATTGAATTGTTTGCTATCCTTTTCTACTGTTTTCAAAGTGCACGATCAGGTCAGATTGTTTTCATATTTGTATTGAGTGTTGTTGGCTGTGTAAGACAGATCGTTGGAGGGGTTGGAGGGAGGAATGGCGTCTGCTGAGACGCCACCTCCGACTCTCCGACAGGGAGTTCGGATAGTCCCTCCGAACGGTACTGTCACCGTGGAGGAGGTTCTGTTAGCTGCAGGTGAACAGGTAGGCCATGATAAACTCTTGTATGCATCCCGAATGAACAAGGCTGTGGTTGTTTTTCTGAAGAGTGAGCCTCTTGTGTATCAGCTGATTGAGAGTGGTGTGTTCATTAGGGATTTGTTTGTGCAGGTTTCCCCGTTGTCGGTTCCCTCTACGCGGATCACCGTATCCGGTGTTCCGCCGTTTATTTCTAACAACTTGTTAGAGAACGAACTCCGCAGGTTTGGGAAGTTTGCGAGTGGTTTCAAAACTGTGAGTCTAGGGTGTAAAGATCCCAAACTGAAACATGTTCAATCTTTGCGGCGTCAGGTGTTCATGTTTTTGGATTCGCCCACACAGACTCTGGAGGTTTCCTTTAGAGTGAAACACGGTGACGCTTCTTATATGGTGTATGCGAGCTCGGGACAACTGAAGTGTTTTGAGTGTGGTGATGTGGGACACAAACGTTTTGCGTGTCCGCACAGACAGCAGGAGGCGGCTAGTGCTGCCGCTGACGCGGGCGGCTCTGTTAGTGTGGCGCATGTGGCGGGGGCCGCGTCCGCGTCCGCGCTTGGGGCGGAGGCCGCGTCCGCGCCCGTGCCTGGGGCGGAGGCCGCGTCCGCGTCCGCGCCTGGGACGGGGGCCGCGTTCGTGCCCGTGCCTGGGGCGGAGGCCGCGTCCGCGTCCGCGCCTGGGGCGGAGGCCGCGTCCGCGTCCGTGCTGCGGCAGAGGCCGCGTCCGCGCCTGCGCCTTGTGCTGAGGCCGTGGCTGAGGTAGAGGTGGCTTCGACCAGCTCTCAGGCTACAGAAAAATCACAGACTGTAGATAATGATAAAACTGAAGATTCCACAAGTTCTGCAGTTGTAGATGTTTCATTGAAGGAAGGTAAGACAGTGTGTTGTAGCCAGGCATCATGTGAAGGAGAGGACATGGATGAAGATTATGAGTCAGACAATGCATCCATTGCTGATTTGCCAAATAGTGGCTCTGGTCTTTATTCTTTAGAGTCAATCAATCAATTTATGGATGAAACGTACAACAAATCAGTAAAAATCAGTGACTACTTTAGTGATACTGAAAAGTTCATAAAGTCAGTCAGCATACTGAAAAGACAGGTTGGGTTTGACCTCCTGGACGCGAAAAAACGGTTCCGTCTTAAAAAGCACATCACCGCACTGAGGAAAGTTGGACGTAAGAGTGTGAAGAAGACAAAGAAATGATCATGCATCACAAGGTGTTTTTCTTCTTCTACTGTTCCCTGTTTGTGTCTACTTGTCTGTTCTTTCTCTCTGATCTTTCTATGAGGAGTCTTAAGATAGGATCTCTTAACATTAATGGTGGGAGAGACAGACAGAAAAGGGGCCTTATCTCTGAGATCTCAACTCAGAAAAACATTGATATCTTGTTTTTACAAGAGACTCATACCACACCATCAGATGAGACAGATTGGGGTTTATGGTGGGAGGGCTCTAACTACCTTAGCCATGGCACCAACCTTAGTGCAGGAGTAGCCATTTTGTTTAGAGCATCTGCAAATGTAAAGATCGTCTCTTGTGCTGAAATTGTAAAGGGAAGGCTTTTAATTGTAAGAGCAGAAATAGAGGACACTGTTTTCTGCTTCACTAATATTTATGCTCCAAATAATGGAGCTGAAAGGGTAGCTTTCTATACCCGCCTCCAAAAGGAGTTAGTGATCTATAATCAGGATCAGATCATTCTTGGTGGTGATTTTAACTGCACACTTGATTTCACCGTGGATAGAATAGGAGAGGAGCCACATCCACATTCATCCCAGACTTTAAACACTGTCATCTCTCACCTGGATTTGTTGGACACATTTAGAGTGAAACATCCACAATCCAGACAGTATACATGGGTCAGGGTTAACAGTAACAGGGTGTGTGCAGCTAGACTGGACAGGGTTTACATCTCCAGAACTCTCAACCCCAGATTAATTCATTGTAATATTCTGCCTGTCGGCTTCACTGATCACCATTTTGTTAGTGTGGAGCTGATTATTTCACCAGGTGAAAGGGCTAAGTCCTTCTGGCATTTTAATAACAAGCTTCTACTGGACAATGTTTTCTGTAAAAACTTTGGGTGTTTTTGGGATCAGTGGCAATTAAGAAAAGTTGAGTTTGATTCTTTGAAGCTTTGGTGGGAGGTTGGTAAAGCTCAGATTCGTGTTTTTTGTCAGCAGTACACGTCACACTCTTCTGCTAGATTAAAAACAGTCATTAAAAATCTTGAGGACAACATTAAGAACCTTGAGGAGGGGTTAAATGGGAGTGTGGATCCCACCACTGGTACCCTGCTGAAGGAGAAACGTATGGAGTTGAGCTCTTTCCTGCAGGAGAGGGTGAAGGGAGCTCTTGTGCGGAGTCGTTTCCTTCAACTCAAAGACATGGATGCCCCAACGTCTTTCTTTTTCAATCTTGAGAGATCTGTGGCTCAAAAAAAGCTGCTGACTTGTCTGAAACTGCCAGGAGGTCGAATAACAGCTGATCCAAAGGAAATGAGCAGTCACGCCATGCAGTTCTATGAGGATCTGTTTGGAGCAGAGAGTTGCAGCCAGGAGTGTCGCAGGGAGCTCCTGGAGGGTCTCCCTCAGCTCAGTGTGGAGGAGAGGTCTCTTCTGGAAGGGGAGCTGTCTCTGGAGGAGCTCACTGCTGCTGTCACTCAGATGGCAACAGGAAGAGCACCTGGAATAGATGGGTTGTCCACAGACTTTTTTAAGAGGTTCTGGAATATCTTGGGTCTGACCTGCATAGTGTTTTAATGGAGTGTTGCAGGACCGGGTCTCTTCCTGGTTCTTGTAAGAGAGCAGTTCTTTCCTTGCTCCCCAAGAAAGGTGACCTGGCATTGTTAAAAAACTGGAGGCCGGTTGCTTTGCTTTGTGCGGACTACAAGATCCTCTCCAGAGCTTTATCGAACAGACTAAAGGACGTTCTGGGAAGTGTGGTCCATAAAGACCAGAGTTACTGTGTTCCAGACCGGACAATCATGGATAATGTTTTTCTTATCAGAGATGTCATTGATGTGTGTAAAATCTATAATCTAAATGTTGGCATTGTGTCTCTGGATCAAGAGAAGGCGTTTGACAGGGTGGATCACTCGTATTTGTTTTCTGCACTGAGGTCTTTTGGTTTTGGGGATGGTTTTGTGTCATTAGTTGGTTTGTTGTATCAGGATGCACAGTGTTTGGTGAAGATGGGGGCGGGGTTGAGTCGGCCAATCCCTGTACGGCGAGGGATCAGACAAGGTTGTCCCATCTCCGGCCAGCTGTACAGCTTGGCTATTGAGCCCTTGCTGTGCAGGTTGAGGGACCGGCTCAGCGGGCTTTCTTTGCCCGCGGCCTGTAGCATTGAATGTCCCCCTACAATTTCTGCCTATGCTGATGATGTAAACATCTTCATCTCCAATCAGGGGGACGTTCGGTGTCTGCGGGACACCCTGTCCCTGTATGAAAGGGCAACAGCTGCACGGGTGAACTGGGAAAAAAGTGGTGCCTTATTGGTGGGAGAGTGGAGGGACCAGGCAGTGCCCAGTCTGCCTGGTGGACTTGAGTGGGGGGGGGGGGGTTGAAGGTGTTGGGGGTTTATTTGGGTACCGAGGGCTTTAAAAGTAAAAACTGGGAGGGAGTTAGGGAGAAAGTGTGCGCTCGGTTGTCTAAATGGAAATGGTTGCTACCCCAGTTGTCGTATAGGGGAAGAGTTCTGGTGGTCAATAACTTGGTTGCCTCGACTCTCTGGCACAGACTTGTGGCTTTGACACCTCCAAGAGGGCTGGTGGAGGACATTCAAAGGGCCATCCTGGACTTCTTCTGGTCAGGCAAACACTGGGTCCAGGCGGCAGTCCTCTACCTGCCGGTGGCTGAAGGGGGACATGGACTTATAGACATTCAGTCAAAAATTGCCTCATTCAGACTCCAGACTGCACAGAGACTCCTTTTCACTTGTGGTCCCAGCTGGATGGACATCGCTCGACTGCTGCTGAGGAGAGCTGGACGGCTGGGGTACACTAAGCAGCTCTTTCTGTTAAAGCTTGAGGAGGTGGATCTCACTGGATTAACATCCTTTTATATGTCTGTAATGCAGGCATGGAAAATGTACACATTCAAAAGGGAAAAAACTGAGAGTCTGGGAATGTGGATCTTTGAGGAACCGTTATTTTTTAATGATTTTATAAGGACTCCAACTTTGCAGTCAGCCAGTCTCCGGGCCAGTTTCAGAGAGGCAGGCTGCACAAAACTGGGTCACCTGGTAAGACTGACCCTGGACGCCCTCAAAGAAAGGACCAATATCACCTCCAGCCGGGTGGTTGAAAGAGTGGTGGAGGAAGTCTTTGCT